GGCAGCCCAGATGGGTTTGCCTCTGCGCTGCCAGTTGCTCTGCTTCCATTGCTGTAACCACCCCCACAGGGCATTTGCCACCATCCATGAGTCAGTACGGAGATAAAGTACTGGCCACTTTTCTTGTTCAGCAATATCTAAAGCCAGCTGGATGGCTTTCACCTCTGCAAACTGACTTAATTCCCCTTCTCCTTCATCAGTTTCTGCAACTTGTCATATAGGACTCCATACAACAGCCTTCCACCTCCGGTGTTTTCCCACAAAACAACAGGACCCATCAGTGAACAGGGCATATTGCTTTTCATTTTCTGGTAGTTTATTATACAGTGGGGCCTCTTCAGCACGTATCACCTCCTCCTCTGCCAATATTGCAAAATCTTTGCCTTCTGGCCAGTCCACGATCACTTCCAAGATTCCTGGGCGACTGGGGTTTCCTATTAGAGCCCGTTGTGTGATCAGTGCGACCCACTTACTCTACGTAGCACCAGTGACATGATGTGTAGAGGGGACCCTCCCTTTGAACATCCAGCCCAGCACCGGCAGTCAGGGTGCCAGCAGGAGCTGTGCTTCAGTACCATCACACTTCCGAAGCAGCTCGAACCCCTTCATATGCTGCCAATATCTCCTTCTCAGTTGGAGTATAGCAGGCCTTGGATCCTCTGTATCCCCAACTCCAAAACCCTAGGGGTCGACCTCAGGTCTCCCCTGGTGCTTTTCTGCCAGAGGCTCCAGGTAGGACCATTCTCCCCAGCTCCGGTGTAGAGCACACTGTTTTACATCTTGCCCGGCCCGGACTGGCTCAAGGGCTACTGCATGAGCTATCTCCCGTTCAACTTGTTCAAAGGCTTGTTGTTGCTCAGGGCCCCATTTGAAATTGTTCTTCTTCTGGGTCACCTGGTAAAGAGGGCTTACAGTCTGACTGTGATTTGGAATATGCATTCTCCAAAAACCCACAACACCTAAGAAAGCTTGTGTTTCCTTTTTGCTAGCTGGTGGGGACATAGCTGTTATTTTGTTGATCACATTGTTGATCATTGGGATCTGACGACATCCATCTTGCCATTTTATTCCTAAAGACTGGATCTCCTGTGCAGGTCCCTTGACCTTACTTTATTTTATGGCAAAACTGGCCTTCAGAAGGATTTGGACTATCTTCTTCTCTTTCTCAAAAAATTCTTCTGCTGTGTTGCCCCATACGATGATGTCATCAATGTACTGCAGGTGTTCTGGAGCTTCACCCTGTTCCAGTGCCGTCTGGATCAGTCCATGGCAAATGGGGGGTCTATGTTTCCACCCCTGGGGCAGTCAATTCCAGGTGTACTGGACGCCCCTCCAAGTGAAAGCAAACTGGGGCCTGCACAGCCGAAACCAGGACAATATCTTAATGCTTTTTTGATAGTCATGACAAGCATAGTAACTCCACTGATTTGTGCATCTTAATATCGCTGTCACTTTTTCACAGAAATGGAAGTTTAAATATTATTTTCTATTTGGAAGCTAGTGTTCAATGCACTTTTAAAATTATTTGTATCATTAGAAATCGGACTACGTTTGCTTTAACATCAATCTGATTCTGATTTCCCTCTCCCACCCCCATCTCCACCTCCCCCCACCCCTTTCATGGGTTGGTTCTAACACTTCTTTCTGTAATTGTTTATAAGCAAATGCATCTAGAGTTAAGAGGGGCTCTATCAAATGAAATGGAGAACACAAAATAATTTTGTTTTTGTCAAAGAGCAGATGAGTGTTAAAACATACCCTAAGGATGTTTTCATGAATATAAAGCAGAAGCATAAAAATAACTGATTTTAAAATAACACAGTAAGAAATTGGTTCTGTCTATGATCCTAATTTTACTACATATCTCTACTCTCTTTGGCATAAAGCAAAGGCTAAAGACAAAAGAGCAAGTAAAGAGATTTTTAATTATAATTAAAAGTTGTACCTAGGATTTAAATAATGAATTTATATTTTTTTATGTGTACTTTTCCTTGTGGAAAGTTTTGTTCTAACTCAGTGGTAACTTAAAAAATGTAGATGTATAGCTAAACTCTGGTTTTTGCCCAAGGTTTGCTGAGGGAGCCTGAATAAGTATATATTTATTTTGTTTGTTAAAAATAAAGGAAGCCTTTACTAAATTGTTGTGCAGACTATTTCTCATTTTTCTGCAGAAAAGTCTATTCTTCTGCTGAAGTACTAAATCAGTGTTCAGAATTTTATTTCCAGCAGTATAGCCTAGTAATTTGGAGTAGACTGTTTGTTACAGTTCTATGTTTGGCTTTGAAGAAAGCCAAACATATATTGCTTTAACATAACATGCCTTGTTGAAACAGGTTTACTAGATTAGGCAATAATATAAACCTGAAATTAAATACGGAAAATTTTGTTCTCTGTCAGCTTTGCCTTTCTCTCCAACTGTAATGAAGCTGGAAGCGTCGTGGTTGCCTAAAGTTTTGGGTTTGTGCATTGTTTCCAAAACTTGCTGCAAACAGCTAAACCAACTAATATTGATGCTTTTACTTTTCCAGAATTCCTTTAATGTCTTATGGAGCTGAAGCTGAGACCTTTCTTCTCACTTCTACTACAGTAGCAGGGACAATTCTTCCAACAAATATCAGGCCTTTGGAAAACTTTGGTAAACTTTTTTTTTGTAAGTTTTATTTATAGCTCATGTGGAGTATTGTTAAAATATGATTCTCAGAAATCAAAGCAGAATATATAGTTACAGTTAACAGGAAAAAATTCCAAACCTGTTTTGATACAGTTTGGTACTATTTCAAAACTAGCTTGTTTATTACTGAAATTAGAAGATGAACCAGCCGCCCCAAAACTGGCAGAAAAACCATTTTTTTCTCTCACCAGAAAGATGAAGAATATTTAAATAAGCTCCAAATTATTTTTCAACATTAGACTATTTAGAACATGTGAGTAATTGCTGTTGATAATATCAGCAACTGATCCACAAATACTGATAACATTGTCAACTCCTAAGGCAGAATATGGAACTAAATCCCTTACGCTGTCTTTTGGGAGAGGCAGGGGATTGGGTTTGAGTCCTGACAGTAAAAGAAAAGGATTTCTTTTTTTTTTCAGATATTTGTGTTCTAAAATTCATATTTAGAACAGAATTTTCTCATTTGTTGTCTTGATTAGAACTTTATGGTTTTTATATAAGCATTCTAATTCCTCTCTTAAAGGTGTGATTTTGAAATGTGAAATTATCGAGCTAACAAGACACAGCAAATAAATTCTTCAAATAAAGTTATTTTTGTATGTTTCCATATGTTCTTGCCACACCTGAACTACAGTTCAGATGTTTACTGTAATATATTACTTATACTGTGGACAAAGTGGAAGACAGTCATCAAGACTGAATCTTAAAACACTGTAGTATGTTGACACGAAAGTTTTAAGTCACCTTCAAGTTTGACTTTAAAACTTCCTACTGATAAGAAGCATGCAGGAAATAAGACACAGAGTCTTCAAATTTCCTAGTGAAACTAGAGGATGTTGGATGCGAAGATGTGCCTTGAGGATTTTGGTCACATTCTGTTGAGTTGAGTGTTCCTTCCCCATTCAGTTTTTATATAGCAACTCCTCAGACAGACATGCACAAAAAAAAGTAAGGACAAAAGCAAGGAGAAACGTAACCTGAATACTGTTTAGAGGTGCGTGACAAATACATGTAAAGGAGATGGGAGCAAGGCCTTCTCTTACAGGAAGTATGAGAGATGAAGGAAAAGGCAGAAGATGGAGGAAACAAGGGGCACCGGGACTTTCTACAAAGGTGGAGAACAGGAAAAAAAATGAAGAAAATACTAAAAATAGAAAAAAAAAACCCAGACTGGATCTTGTGATTCTTACTAACTGTGCCTGAAAGATGGTCGCATAAGCTTTTTTTTTATTATTTTTACACACCCCACCCCATGTCTTGGTCATACATAAAGCGTACAGTTTTGCATCAGAGCAGTAGTTGACAGTTGCTTCCAGAGTTCTGCAAGGAGGTATGCAAATATCAGTGATGGCCATGTAACTGTACTGCCTGAATCTTCCCTCTAGCTGCTGGGGTTTTTTTAGATTCTCTTACCCTTAAATAGTCTTTTTCCTAATTTGACCTGAAAATGCATTAGTGAATCTACAAATACCATTATGATTTAGGCTGGCATTATACAGTTCTTTTGCGTGATTAAAATATTTTTAAATAAAGATTCAGTGAGCTGAAATACCTGTATTTGGTCCAAGTCCAAAGCTTGCAAAGCTTGTCTGTTAAAATCCTACAGATAGTAAGGAATGCTAAAAAGAGGCTTGTGTTTCACAAGTGGGCTTTGAAAGTGCCACAAAAATAATTGCCTTTTAATTCTGTCAGGATTCCCACATTCCATTTGTATTATGAATTTTTATTATTGCAGGGTGATTTCTTCCCCACTGAAGAAAATCATCCCAGATGTTATATGTCATTACAGATTTTTAATATCTGACTTGTTTTCCTGGCTATTGTAATAGGTTTGAAGACGTAGCTCGTCTGAGATAGCCACATGTGGCTGAATGACTGCTGGTCAACCACTGTGAAGTCCCTTTTTAACAAAATTATTGGGGAGACTCTTAGAGTAGATACCTCAAATAGTGCCAGCCACCTAAAACTCCTTTGGAAGTTCTTTACCACACATGTTGTTTTCTTTTAAATGTATGGCACCTTCTATACAATCAATACCATTGGTTTTCATTATCTTAAGTGATAATTTGATCAGTGGACATCCAAAAACCAAAACTAGATTCTTTTTGTGTTCAGGCAAATTATTGCGTGTTTATAAGGGAGGTCAGAGGAGGTGATTAATAGTCCTGTGCTCTGCTTTAGCCTTTTTAAGGCTAGTGAGGTGCTTGCAGAGTTACTGCTCTAAGGTTATCAGATAAGTTTACATTTAATAGACAGTGATATGTTTTTGATTCTGCTAACGAAGTAGTAAGTGATAGAGGATTTTGTGCTCTTATATACTTGTCTTGTTCCTATCCTATTTTTAATATAATTTGTTTAAGAATACATTACACAAATACTTTAGTGCAGTAAAAGCATGGAATAGCAATGTTATACAGAGAGTTAGAATCAAGACTTTGTGTGATGTGATAAATGCATTGCAAAACCCATAGAAATTAATCTTTCTTAGCAAGTTTCTACTGTTTGTTGCATGAAAATGAAGCTATAAAAAGATCTAATTTAAACACCAAATTCTTTATGCTTTCTGAAGTCTACGCAACGTATGAAACAAATTAATAGACATCTCAAGAAATTAATTTAGTTTTGGAGTATTACATTCAAGCATATTTACTTAATTATCGTTAATCTTTAATTCCTGAGCCTGTCCCTCATAAGCTTTTGTAGGTATCAAGAGTACATTCTGTTCCCTTTACAGTGACTATAACCCTTGGCTTCCCTACAGAGACTTTTGTCAAATTGTGGATTGCATGAAATCAATTAATACAGTATCAAAACAAGAACTCTTGTGCTGCTGTGTGCGACTTACGGTCATTCTTCTACAGCTTTAGGGTTCTCTGTGCACCCTAGGCTGCCCCAAAACTTTCACTCCTTATTCAGTTCTTTAGGTGCTGCAGGCACCCCGGGGGCCCTGCGGCAGAGTTTAAGTCCAGTTTGCCATGGTGCGTGCAGGGTCTGTCTTATAACTGGTGAATGAGTTTGCACTGTCTGAAACTTGATTTCGTAAAGATGTATGCTCTCAGTGCTGCTTCTGATCAGCTGCCTCCCATGGGATCGTCCACTGACAGCCATTTAAAAATGTCACTTTCTGTAGTATTGAGCTTCACTTTTGTAGCATTGAGGCTTCACTGCCAACAGGCCTGCATTTTAGAGTGACAGGAACTGCTATACGCTAACAATGTCATGTGGTTCATTCATTACTTCTCTAACAGCTTAAATGCTGACTGTCTTTGAATGGCAATATCAATAGCAGTTTCATTGTGAATGCCATTACTGTCCATGTAGCTATGCTGGCACTGCTTCTAAAATGTGTGTTTAGATGTCACTTTGTTAGCTTCATTCTGTTCTTTAAAGGTCTGCACTGAAAAAAAAAGGATTTAAATTTATCTACTTAAGCTGTGGCAGCATTTCATAGTAAATCTTACATTGAATTATTTGAGGATATCTGTTAAACCAGAGAAGGTCATCTTATGTTCTTAACTGTGTTTGGATAAACGGTTATTATTAAACTTTAATGTATTCTGCTTTTATTAGAATCTTTAGGCAAAGGATATGCTGTTGCGTGTACCCAAGAAGGAGAAGAGAAAAAGCAAGCTTCTGGTTCATCTGGCACTAGAGGAACTAGAAGGAAATCAGTTAATACTACTCCTAGAAGGAGGTCTGCACGAAACAGCAAAAATGAGACTCTGGGTCAGTCTCGGAGCTCACCTCGGTCAAGCAGTTCTGCATGTGGTGCCCCTGATGGCAATAACCCATCTCTGAATAAATCTCCTTCAGAATCAGAGAAGGCTCCTCCAAAACGAAAGCCTAAAAGAATAGTTAAACAACAAACACCTGTGCTTAAAAAGAAACTCAGAAGTTCTGCACGTTGCGAAAAATCACCCAGTGATTCAGTGGAAGATGATGACATTGCTGAGTCTGAAGCAGTTCTGACATCTGAAGCAGTTCTAACATTAGATAAAGACCAGCAGTCAGATAATGAAAGCAATAACGCAAGCCTTCCCCAGAAGAATAATGCAGAAACAGAATCTGCTAATGGATTGGAAAGCTGTAGTGAACATACAGAAATTGAGGGAACTACAGGAGAATGTGACAAAGATGAAGATACTTCAGGCAATGCGAATATAAGTTTTTCTGTCCAAGAACCTCCAGTACTAAATTCAGGAGGTGAAAGTCAGGAATTTGAAGTAAAAGGTGTTACTGAAAAAAATATAGATCTTGAGAGTCAGAACATCTGTGAAAATACTCTTGAACAAATGGAAACAGTAGCTAGTCCCAGAGATGAAGTATGTGACCATGCAACTTTTGCAAAAGTAGATCAGACCTTGTGTAGTCCTCAAAATGAATTGATGGAGAATGTAGAAACTTTGACAAAAATAGATCAACCCATAGCTAGTCCAGAAAATGAATTGTTGGAATGTCCAGAACCTTTGGGAAAAGATCGGCCATCAGAGAGCCTCAGGAGTGAATTGCCTGAGCATCCAGAAGCCATAGAAATTGATGATTCTGAGGCTGAAGAAAAAACGGTGGTAGACTGTGCAAGTACAAATATTCAAAACTTAAAAACTGTTCAAGATGAAGAACCAGATACATTAATACACAGTATTTCTATGGACAGTGCATCAGAACAATCCTTAAAAGAGAACACCATGCCAGAAAGTGAAGAAGGTAGAACTTCAGAGTCACCCCAGATAAATGCTGAACATAAACATTTTGGTGAAGATAACAATGAAATGATACCAATGGATTGTGACTCATTTTGCAGTGACCAGAATGAACCTCAGATTGAGCAGTTACCACCAGTTGAAAGTACAGAGCAAGGAGATGTGAACTCCTTACAGTGTGATGCAGGAAACGGTACATCGCTTTCAGGACTTCCTGATGAAAAGGATGAAACTGTTCCTCAAGAAAGAGAGTGCCAGTCAGAACTCAAAAAAGATAAAAAGACTCGAACTAGAAGGTCTAGGTTTCACTCTCCATCAACAACTTGGTCTCCTGCTAGGAGAGAGGGCAGAAAATCTCAATCACCATCCCCTAAAAGGGAGATCACCAGAGACAGGAGCTCGCGGTCACCCAAGAAGGAGACTGTGAGGGAGGGAAGGAGATCTTTATCTCGTTCTCCGAAGAGAGACATGCTCAAAGATGAGAAAAAAACACCATCTCGATCTCCCAAAAGGGAAACTGTCCGGGAAAGCAGGAGATCATCTTCTCGGTCAAGAACTAAGGATTCATCTCCGAGGCAAAAATCTAGATCTCGAAGCAGCGATAGAGATAGTCAAAGAAGAGATCGTGACAGAGAAAGAAGAAATAGGAGGTGGTCTAGGTCACGGTCACGATCTAGGTCAAGATCACGATCTAGGACAAGAAATAAAGGTTCTTCATTCTCTAGAAATGAGAGGGACAGTCATTCACCTCGATGGAAAGAGAGATGGGCCAATGACAACTGGAGGAGTCCCAGAGGAAATGATCGATACAGAAGAAGTGATCAAGAGAAACAGAATGAAAGTCTTAAAAAAGAGAAGGACAACACAGAAAAAAACAGTGACGATCAATGTTCTTCAGACAAGCGGAGGAATGATTGTCCAGACTGGGTAATGGAGAGGATAAACTCCGTTCCTGAAGTCAGGAACAGAGAGAGAGATAAACCACATTGGGAAGACAGCAGGCATGATAATTCAGGACACTCTTGGAATAAAAACTTTGGTTCAGGTTGGATTCCAAATCGAGGGAGAGGTCAGCGTGGCCGAGGTGGGCGTGGAAGAGGTGGTTTCATGTATGGAGACCAGAGTGAAAATCACTGGCAAAATAGAAAACCTCTCTCAGGGAACTCAAACGGTTCTGGGAATGAAACTTCAAGGTTCCCAGAACATCAGCCATACAAGCGTAAGAATGAACAAGATTATTCTTTCGATACACCTGCTGACAGATCTGGGTGGACATCTGCATCCAGCTGGGCTGTAAGAAAGACTTTACCTGCTGATGTGCAGAATTATTATTCAAGAAGAGGACGCAGTTCATCAAGCCCACAGTCTGGATGGGGAATGAGACAAGAAGAAGAGACACCTGAACAAGGTATTCATAGTTTTGAAACATAAAAGCTTAGTTCACAGCAGCAATAGCCAAGTAAAATCTTAGCCACATTGACCTATTTCAAGTTGATTAGTTCCTCAAAATAATTTGGGGTGAATCTATAGTCTTTTTGCAATATGGAAGTTTGTAGGTATGGAGTTTGGGGATTTCTTGACTTTTGATGATGTTTTGATGGCTTTTTGGTTTTGCTTAACGTTAGACATAATTTGAGGACTATGCATCTGAAGAGTGCTACTTAAGTAAATTGATTTGGGTGAAGACAAAGCATATCCTCTTCATGGATACTTTTAAAAAGGGTAATTTTTTTTTAAGGAGATTTGCATTTGCCTGTGCAGACCCACACCATAGATTCTAGAGATGACAAATCATTATGTTGATGTTTATCTTGCTTCTAAATAAGCATTTTCCTCTTTATATGCTTAAAAAATCTAGGGAGGTTTATAAATGAAAAAAACAGTACTTTTACTATACTTCAGCATTAAAATTCCTCTGAAGCGTTAATAGAAGTCTAAAATGTTTGAGTATTTTATATCTAAAAGGTAACTGCCCTGATGGAAATAAACTTCTTGGTAGACAGTGAGTTAACTGTGGACGAGGTTGATTCTGAATAGCTAAGAAGTTGTGCACAGACTGTTAATGCTCTGAAGTAAGGTAGATGTGAATTGTATTTGAAAACTGTAAAATCCAGTTCTGAAGACAACCACACTTGCACTTTCCCATTGTCTCCTTGTTTTGTCTTTCATTTTTATCCATTTTCATCCTGTATGCCAGCAGTTTTCTCTCTTTTCAGAGACAACTGCATCACTAGCAGCTTAGTTTTGAGGCAACTTTGTCAACCTTCAGTCTGCTGCAGGCAAAATTTATCAAGCCTTTAATTGAAAGTATTGTGTGATTTGCAGGCTTTATTTCACATAGTTCAGGAACAATCACACTGTTATATGCACTTTTGGAAGGTAAGCATTGCATATGTGATAATGTATGACTAACCTTCTGCAACTGCAGAAGCTAGCAAGTTATGTTGTCTTCCTGCTCTTTGGGAGAGAACTACTGTTTCATTGTGATGAAATAATTTATTAGCTGTGCTATGGGAACAAGTAGAGAAAATAGAAATTCAAAATGCAGGCTTCCATAGTAACCCGAATTTTTTAAACTCTGAAACTAGCATTTGGCTCCGTGATGTGTCTAGTGACGAGTGCTGTGCAATAATGTAATGCAGCATCTTTAAAATACTCGGATTATAGAAAGCTTTTTGATACTCCATACTTCCTGAGGAGTTTAGACACCTGGCTCTACTTTTGCTTTATAAAGTATGGATTTTCTACTTCATACACTGTCTGTTTTTTCTTTTGATAGATCCAAACCTCAAAGACCAAGGCAACCAGCAAAGTGATGGTTCTCAGTTACCGATAAATATGATGCAGCAACAAATGAATGTAATGCCACAAGTGAATGCACAGCACCAACCTATGAATATCTTTCCGTATCCAGTGGGTGTCCATCCTCCCATGATGAATATGCAACGAAATCCTTTCAACATCCACCCTCCGGTGCCCATGCATCTCCCTACTGGAGTGCCTCTCATACAGGTAGCTGCTCCCACAAATTTGTCTCAGGGATTACCTCCGCCTCCACCTCCACCCCCACCATCTCAACAAGTCAACTACATTGCTTCACAGCAAGATGGAAAACAATTGCAGGTATGCTTTGTCAGAAGCCATGGCAAGAGCAGTACTGAAATAATAACCAGTTAAGGGTTTCTTATATTGAATACCATAGTCTTGATAAATTTATACTTGCAGTTTCTTTCTCTCTTGCCTGTCTTCTTCCACCCCACACCAAATTTAAAGTGGAAGTATTCATGAGGGTATGGGTTGGTTTGGGGCTGTAGCTTTTAAATAATAATACACAACACCGTAACTGGGTTTTTCTGGTAATGATATATTCCAGTGGGTAATGGAACACTGAAAAATTTCATCAGTGTTGTCAATTACCTTTTTCTTAGAAATGCCACGTTTCCAGAACTAAGTTTTCTCCTTCAAACCCTAATTTTTAAGCTTTAGGAAATGTTTGAATCCCCTTTCAGCAGCATGTAGGAAGTGACCTAAACCTCTTTGTTGCAGTTTTCATCCCATGGGGTGTATCAGCAGAGGAAAATTATCAAGTACTGCATGGCACCTGTTTGTTCCACGCTTCCATTCTCTGGCTGTCACTGTCTCAGCAGCTTCCCCCCACACAGGCGTTTTCTATTCTGTTTGATCTTTTGAGCCTTTTTGTTAATAATTTCCAAGCTTTCTTTGGTATGTTTTACTTCCCCCTTCTTGCCCGAGTCTCCTGTTTTTGCATGCCCTGTTTGAGACCTAACTCCCACTTAATTTCTCCTGTTTCAAAAAGACTCTGTTGTGCTTGGGGCAGGTCAGACCATCTTTTTGTGTGTTTCAAGATATCTTAAAACAACCTTTGTGTATGTGAGCTCCTCCTGTAGCCAGCTGTTTATATTAAGAGCTTTTATATCAGGCAAAAAGAATGTGAACAACTTCCAGGAGGAAGTTACATCTCCTGTGAGGAGATGTAACGCTGCATCTATGATGTATAAAGGGCTCTTCAGGGTTTGACTGAGGTTTCTGCTTTTCTTTTGTTGCAGGCTGCCTGCTCTAATCTAAAATGCTTTCCCCTGCATTCCAGGTTGAAAAAGTGATGTTCTAGAACAATGATTTCTAACCCTGTTTTCACACATCATCTCTAAAGATTTGAAGCGAACTGATAAATGGCCTACATTCTTTTCACTTTCAACTGCTGTTATCATTCATATTCATTAACTTAGAACAAAAGGAGTCAAGTACTGTGGGAAATAATGAGTTACAGCTCATATTAAATACTTTAATACTCTGCAAGGTAACACAGTAAGGTACCGTTGGAACTAAAATGCTGGTAGATTGCTTGTTGATTTGATTAATGCCTGCTGTCTGTAATTAAAATATTTTCACAGTTGGAAATTCCGTAGGTTTAACCTCTAAAAATTTAAGAACGTAGGCTACAAATCTCTGTGAAATACAGTATCTAGTGCAGCAATAAATACGTTTCTATAAAGACCTGTGTATTGCTCCAAAATACAGTTACTTGTTAGTAAAGCCCCCATTCTCTTTGTTGCTCTTAACCTGCTTTTCTGGAATGGTGTCCATGAACCTGAATGCTCTTGGGAACTGCTGCTGCTTTTAGTTTGAGCTTTCATTGGATGAGTCCTTGGTGGTAGCACAGTACAAATTACTGAATACTGCAGGACTCCACCCATCCTTCCTGTTGAAAGGAAGATGAAGAGAGCGCACTGGCGAGTGTTAGCATGCTGATTATAACAGCTCAATACCTGTGTCCTTTCCAAGGAGCTCAAATTCCTGTTTCATTATTTTCCATCTGGATTAATGCAGATGTGAAAAAAAAAAGTAATGGTGATTATCTGCAAAAAAAGTACCATTTAGGGTGGCCTGCCAGAAACATGTTGGGAGGATGCATTCTTGGCTTTTGCTGAAAGGGACCTCTGTCTGAGGTCTGAGAGCTATTTAATTTCTCAATTCCAAAGTAGCAACAGTGCATGTGGTCTTTTGGTGATGTTTGGAAATGAAAATGGCTTTTCCTGAAGAATAGATCCTGGTCCTTCAACCAGCATTTCACCTCTAGCCTCAAGTAGACTTGTAGGTGTATTTACATTTGAAATTCATTCGCAAGTTCAAGCTGATAACAAATATGAAAATAAATGTTTTCAAAGCAGCATCATTATGATGCAGGAAGGCAAGTGAGGTTTAAGGTAGCTTTTTGTATGTATGTTCAGGTGCTGATTTTTTTTTTTTTTTTAAAAAAGTTAATCTGATTTACAAAACAGGACTTCCTATACACTCCTGTAACAAATCGAGAGGTTCTGCTGCCATAAGCTAACACCCTCCGTGCCTGTTTGCAGGATACTTTGTTTGCTTTATCACTGGGATCAGAGCCAGAATCTAGCAACCACAGTGGTGACATGGAGGATGCCTTACTTTTACAGCTTTTTTTTTTTTTTTTTTCCTTTGAGTAGATCTGATATGATATAGAGCTGATACAATGTGCGTACCTTCCATAATAATGGATGGTGTGGAAACTGGCTAATGAATGTGTAGTCTTGATGCTCCTTCTATAGCTGCTGAGACTTCTAGGAAGGCACGTTGTAATACTGAAGTATAATGTATTAACTACCGATAACTTTTTAAAACAGGGTATTCCAAATGCTGCTCATGTAAGCAATAACATGAGTGCTCCAGCCGTGCCTGCTCCAGCGGCAGTCCTGGGAAACGTGGGAACAGTTCAGGGACCAAGTTCGGGTAATGCAATGTCGTCAAGTCACGTCAAGAGCTCTAATACAGCTGTAAAATTGGGAGAAAACAAAGCAAGTGTAACAGTGGAAGCCAGTGCAGATAGCTCGAAGAAGGACCAGGCAAGTTCAAAGTTCAGAATATATTTATATACATCAGTTAATATATTT